GACAGAGTGATGGAGCTCGGCGCTGACCCCGAGGGCGGATGAGAGCTGTAGGAGGAGAGAGGAGAAACAAAATAAATCATCTCTGTGGAATGAAAGAGAGAAAGGCAGAGGCACAAAGAGGATTGTGTTTTGTGCTTCACCGTGTGTGTGTGTGTGTGCGTGTGTGTGTGTGTCTGTGTCTGTGTGTGTGCGTGTCTGTGTGTGTGTGTGCGCGCGCAATAGAGAAAAAGAGGAGCTGGCAGCGGTCGAGGTTGGGAGCAGTCTAAATCCTGAAACATGAGCTAATAAATCTGAAGTTTACCTCACACCGCTGCACAGCAGCTCACTGATAACCAGCTGAGGGTCGCTGTGAGGGAGTACCTCTGTGTTTTCACATTTCATTTCCACACCGACTAAGAAACAAGTTCACATGAGGGGAACTAGCAAGTGTGAGATTTGGTGGATTGGGGCCTGTCAGCACAGAAGGAGCATCCCTCCTCAGCCCATTCTCAGCAGATGCTCCACCGTGCAAAGTTTCCAAATGAATGGCTCCTCCTGGTTTTTAATTGGTCTCTGATGCCTGGTCCCGTCACCATAGCGATCAGAGATCATGTCTGTGCCTCTTGTTGCAGGTGTTGCTTTCTTGCTGAAGTGTAAACACCAGGCAGATTCCATTTCTGCTTGACCTGAGATAGACGGCAGCACAAAGAGCTCTGAAACAGGCAGATTAATTAAACGTGTCCAAAATCTACTGTCGTCCTCCTCTCAGAGGAGCAGGTTTTCAGGAGAAGGAAGCAAGTCTCTTCACTCCGTCTTACCCTTCAGTTACTGTATGGTCAAGTCAAAATGATTATGCTAGTCTTAGCTTTAAATGTTGTCCTTTAACTTACTCCAGCCTAATCCATTTCTTCTTTATGGGTTCAAAGTGGGCATCTTCTTACTGCCAGTGTTAACAGATAGAAGGGCTGATTGGCAGTCTCCAAAAAAATGAGTCCAACATGGCATTTGTTCCTGTAGGCAATGAAAACCAGTGAGTACAATCAAAGAATATGTGACCTATAGAGGTTAGGACGGCAGCTGTATGAGGGGTCAAAGGAACTGTGGCCCAGTGAAAATAAGGCTTTAAACCCAAAAAGACATGATATCATACCCATCATATCTTTCAAACACACTGCCTGAAATCATGGTAAACGAGGTCAAATCTCAGGACAATGCAAAAAGAAATCCTTTTATATTCCTCTTAGACTTTATACGCCCAGTTTTTATGGTGTTGGAGACCCTAAAGTGGCAGGTGATGGGTTTCCAGTCCCATTTCTGTTCATCTTGGTATGAAGCAGGATGGTGATTGCTGTAAACTACCTTATGAGGGGTTATGAATCCACTGTTTGTGCTCTGATGGATGGAGTCAACCTCCATGATCCCTCAGTAACTCAGTAACAAAGTTCTGATCCTGTAACATAGAAATGTTGTTGTCCCCTGGAAGACATGAGTGGACCTGAAGGCTAGGAGAAACTATTACATTTCCATTCGGTTGATCATTGAAGGTTGTAAATAACTCAGTTTAAAAGGGGATAAGAATCCTAAATACATCAAGTTCAGCTGGTTCTCCTCTCACATCAGAATATTGTTGAGCTCAGACCCTGGTGGAGGATCCTGAAGCTTTCAGAACAGGAGTAGAGCTGAAGAAGGGGACTTTTTGTTTCAGTCTTTTTTTTTGTAACAACTGATAACTCTGACTTGAACTCAACCCTCCAGACCAGCTACATGTATCTGTAACACAGACCGACACCGAGTCCAGAATGTCTTCATTTCATACATGTGAAAAAGAACATTGATACAAGTGAAACTATATATTTAAGACTTTCAGAGGTAGTTTCTACTCCTCAGCTCCCACAGTAGCGGGGGGGTGAGGTTTCCTTTCGACTGGATGTGTGTGGATTCTCTGGTATCACCCTTGAGTCTCTGCACCGTGACACTCTGTGTTTTGCTTCCCTGCTTTTCCGTCCCGGGACTTTATTTATCAGGATTGCTTCCTGGCTCAAGGTCATTTCTCCTCGTTCAGCCCACTCTCCTCCACATATTGATGCCAGCAGAGCCAAGGTTCTTGGCTGCTAAAGCAAAATCGATATCCCTGAGCGCATGGTGCTTGTGCTCTAATATCCTCCCAGCAACACCTGCCAAAATATTTATGCTGTATTCATGGGAGATGCTTAGGGAACACATAGGAACAGGAGAGGCACAGCTGGCGGCTCTCGTGGATCCGATAGAGGGCATAGTGCAGCTCGCACCACAGTAGCTCATGAGTGATGCTTTTCCTGCTAAACCTAATGGAAGCTGCAGGGCAAGCGCTGCTAGCTTAGCTCGGTTTTATCAGCCTTAGCTCAAGTCTGCTGAGGAATATGAATATTGATTGGGGTTGCAGCAGAGTAAATGACCTCATTTGTAACAGCTCTGCTTTTATCTTTTATTTTTTCAAGCGAGAGAGGGCAGCCATGTTTACTCAACACAGACAGAGATGTATGCGACTCTGACTGAGTGTGTGTCTGTCTGTGTGTGTGTGTGTGGGGGGGGGGTGCTTATTAAAACAAGACGTCTTCCCTGACTTCAGGAGAATAGGTGGATGTTCTGCCAGATGGGCAGGAGAGCAAACTCTGGACATGAGCAGCTCACATAGTCTTTTTGCCCTAGCAGAGAGTTTGTTTGACATCAAAGGGGGTTTGTCTGAGACGCACTGAAGGTTTGACCTCTGGACTTGATGAACCTCTTTGCACTTCACCCTCCCGGACAAACCAAAGTTACAATTGATGATGACTTTGGTATTCTGGCTGCGCACGTTCCTTTGTGGTGCTGTCATGTTGCTGTGGGAGGTCAAAGAGGCTGGGCGGGGCGGGGGCGGGGGGGGGCTGGGTAGGCTTTTCTGGTTAACATGCAAATGAACTGTTTAAAGGCTTGAAAGGTCAGAGAGGTCCGGCGCAGCGATACGTTTACTAGATTATAGCGCCACAGAAGTGTGTGTGTGGGCGGCCGGTCAGCTCTGCAGCTGGGCTCCTCGCCTTGTTTAGAAAAGCCCCAGCATACCATGTCTGTTGGACATCAGTCATATAGCATGAAAGGTTGGGAACAGACAAAGCAGCAAAAGCAGAAAAAGGAAGAAAAGACAGAGGGCAAATGAAGACAGAAAAACAACTGATGCTGGCACAGGGCTGGCTAATGGTGTGGGTGTGCACGCTGTGTGCGGAAGACAATCAATTTTGTATGATATCTTTTTTTATTTTATTGATATGCTCCCTGGGGAGGTAAATGCCATCATGGCCCGCGCGGTGGATGTCTGCTTGGGGGATGATTGATTGGTCTGGCATTTGATCCTGTGGCTCACAGTGAAGGATAGGATGCTGGAGTGGTGGGAGCACCCAGTGCTGCCCTCCACTCTGCTCTCCTCCTCCCACTGTCCCCTAACAGCCCTTCCCTCTCTGCAGATTCACTCATTTATCCATTCTTTCAGCTGCCATATATCCTTCATTGTCTCGTTTCTCACAAAAGTGCCTTTTAAAAACCCCTGTGATGATTGGCTTTAAAGGTTTTCCTTGTGTTCCCGCGGTGCTAAAAGCCTCATAAAACGTCTGCATCTGAAAACACATGAACAGAGCTACCATCTTTTTCTTTTCTCCTTCAACGCCTTCATTTGAACACATTATGCTGATTTAATGGGGTGTCAGGAACACATGTCATGAAGACAGTGAAAGACTGACAGACTGAGAAAACCTGAGTCGCATTATCCGTTTTCCATATCAATAAGGCACTTACTGCATATGAATTCCACAGTATTCTCTATTAAACTGAGGATTTATTGAAAAAGTGCCAACATTAGCCATATGAATGAGACTCCAATGTAAAGAGACAAGGAGAATATGAGAGCTGTAAATGGGTATCTGTGAATTAATTTGTTCAGTGAACATACCGTGAATCACATGAGGTCATAGAAAATCCAGATGGAGCAGCAGGAGGATTGGCACAAGGTAGAGAAGGCAGATATCCAATTTTTGGACCTGAGCTCAGAGCTGAGGCTGCACTGCCACCATGTGGGAAGAGGAGAATATGGGAGGGTGTCACGGAGCCGGAGGGAGTCCAGCATTTCTACCCAAGGTTGTTTTTCAAACCAATAATCAGTGACTGGTAAATATCAGTTCCCCCAAAACAAGCAAAAATATGAAAACAATGTTGAGAGGAACCTCAACGAGGTGGATACATGGACTCAATCACCATTTCACCACGAGGATGGAAGTCCATTTTCATCTGGCAGACTCATTGTAAAAGAATGCAGAGGGAGAGCAGGCCCAGAATCATCTTATCTCTGCCACCTCCTATAACCAAATTTATGAAGACACTTCTCTGGCCTGCTCCGCACGTACATCTGTATAATAATCCTCAATAATCCCCACCGAAAGAGTGATGGACGACATATGTGACAGCAGGAGTAATACCTTTCCCAGCGGATGGGAGAGCTCCAGAGAGCTGGAACACAGGAATGTTTCTGTGTGTTTCTCCAGCCATTCATCACAGTGAAGAATGCAGTTATATCTACGAGGGGATTCATGGTCACAGATAAGGCTTCAGTGACCCATAAAGATAAACAAACCTTTATTAGTCCCACAGCATGAAAATTCATATCTTTACAGCTAAAGAGAATACAGTCAGCAGTAATGTGGTGAGAAACAAAAAGATAGCAAAGGAACCATTTCACTAAGTTTTAGCCTCCCAATTATCATTATTGTTGTTGTTGTTGTTGTTGTTGTTGTTGTTGTTGTTGTTGTTGGTACAACTAGTACTTATGTTAATTCAAGTTGTGAACAATTATCTATCTATCTATCTATCTATCTATCTATCTATCTATCTATCTATCTATCTATCTATCTATCTATCTATCTATCTATCTATCTATCTATCTATCTATCTAAATTATTAGAAATAATTTATTTTCAATAAATAGCGGAACCTATATACACATCGCATTGTTTTTAGTCGGTTCTATTTTACCGCTGCACCCAACATGGAAGGATAAGCAGAACACTCTAAATGGAACAAACTTTGCCTGGTACCGTTTCAGCTGGATCTTAAAGTAACGCCGTAAGTCTCTGAAGTGTCTCAGACAGGAAAAGGGAGCCGTTCTCTTTAGGACTGTTCGTGTCGTGCTAACGCTCTGCTAGCATACTACCCTCAGAGGCTCCCTGGGTCCTTGTGGCTCCACAATTTGACACGTTTTTATTAAGTCACATTTAAATTGTCCTTGTAGAAATATAGGAAAGTCACGCGTGTTTCATTTGTAAGTAGTCTACGCTTCAGACACTGTTTGCTTAATTTAATTTGTTTTATGAACAGTCGATAGCATCTTATTTGGTTTAATTAAAGACAAATATCCCAGTTTGACCGCAGGCTGCGGGTTGAATGAACGGTTTGGTGTTACCATCACACTGTACACTCTTCCTGTATTTGCAGAGGCTGTGTGATCAGAAGAACAGGATGCTTTGTAAGCTGTGTTTGAGGCCTCAGCATGGATCATTACTCCATGCTGTGGCCAAGCAGAGCATACACAAGCTAGCCTCCCTTCAGAACACCTCTTCACTTCCTCCCAAAAAGATGCAGAGCTTGCTTTATCCGTTCAGTGAGCTGGAGTCGTACCTGGACAGGTGCTGAGCTTCGTCTGCCACACAGAGAGGGCCGCCGAATGCACTGTCTGCCATTAACCTTCAGCTAGACCTTTTAATCAAAGTGAATATCATTCTCAGGTCTGTGGACAGGACACAGTTTCAGCTCTTCCATCCAGGTTTGGAGGACATGCTGCAGGCAGAGAAGCTCTTCTGCTCCTCACCGTCTCATAAGATTGATTACTACACTTCTGTGGAGAGGATGGACCACGCGCCTGACCTGAAGCAGCCAGAGGTCATTGCACAGCCAAACCAACTAATGTTCTACCTAAGTGTTTTCAAATGTCAGGTCTGCTTTTGCTGCTCTGAACTCAGCTCATATTTACACGACAAACTTGGAGGAGAAAGTTCCACCATTTGCATCTGGAAAGTGTAGTCAAGAAAACCAGTCAAGAAAATTAGAAGGAAACCAGACTGGACCAGTTACATTTGGAGTACTATAAAAGTAAAACCTGAGCACAAAACAGTTAAGTCTGCAGAAACAAATCCACACTGGTCCCCAACAGGCCAAACACTCCCTTAAAACACTCACCGGGTCAACAGCAGACATTTTGAAGCCTCTGTGAGAGAGAAACAGAGCTGACTGAGCCTTGTCACTGCTTTTTAGAAGTTAAAGCAGGTGCTCCGATACCAAAAAGTGTCACAGACCAAAAACACCATGATGTAACAGACGTAAACGGACCAAAGAAGCAGGAAAGAAGCCACCAGAGCAAAAGCCAGCTCACATTCACACTATGAAATAGAAACAGTGTGTTGACTTGTTATTTTATTTATCAGCCAAGCTTAATGTGTTTAATCGGCTTCATTAAAGCAGATCAGGCTGAGAGCCTTACCCCAGACACATCAGAAACTCCAGGTGTTCTGCTGCCGTTTGCTTTCTGCTGTTCTTTCACATCAGCCGTGTGTGGAATCATCTCCTGATCAGTCCAAAGGAGAAACGGGGAGCTTCCCCAACTCAGGTTTCCTGTTTAATGGAGATTCTTCATGGAGGAAAAATGGTAAACAAAAGGTCTAATCTCAATACAACTCAGATAATAAATTAACAAATGAACAGCAACCAAACGCAAGCAAAACTGACCTCCAGACACAGAACCGAGGCTGCTTAAATATGGTGGACTGCCCTAAACAACAGACCTAAAACTAACAAATAGAAGCAAAATAATATATAACCGAATACAAATAATATATAAAAATGACAAAATAACTTGGGGCTCAATTTAACTTCAAATTAGCTTAAAAAATAACCTTCCCCCTCCCTCAGTCATCCACCACAAGATTGAAAGCCCATCATTCCTCAGCACACTTAGGAGGACCACTGTTCTTTTAGGCTTCTTAAACTGACCACAGACCTCCAGAAGCTCTCAGACCTGTAGCTGGAGTTAGCTGCAGACAGAATAAGGAGGGTAATGAAAGCATGCCTCCCTCAGAAAGAGGCTTTGTGTTGTGTGTGTGATGACGTTGATGCAAATTATCAGCACACACAAAACAAGGCCCAGATTCAACGTGAAGCCCATTTTAAAAGCATCCCCACTGCTCTCTTGTGCACATTCAACTCTGTAGAGTCCATTGCCCTGCTGTATGCTTTCACTGAAGCTGAAAAATCCCCCAGAATGCAATGGAAATGGCCGTTGTTGAACACGTTTACATGACATTCTCTAAAGAGATGGTTACTCTGACCAAATCAGAGTTTTGAAAGGGTAAAAAGTGACCTGGTATCTGTAGCTGTGTAACTACAGACTGTCTGTTTTAGCTCATGTGTGATCTTCCTTTCATGTCCCGTCTGGTTTCATTCCCCAGTTTGTTTCCTTGGTCCCCGTTAGCCTTCTCTGGGCTCAGTTAGCTAATTAGCACCAGCTGGCCTGCGTTAGCCTCCTCAGGATAAACACTCTCAGGTTTCCTCTGTGCTCCACTGTTTGAATCCAGCTCCTCAGAGTTTCTGCTGTGGGTGTTCTCTGGACTTTTATCTGTTGTATGTTTAGCTCTTTGTTTTGGCCCTCTTTTTTTTTTAAATTTAGCACTGTGACAGTAAACAGATCAAGCTGGACTGAAACCGAGATAAAATCCAAACTGCTCAATGCCGGTTTACCCCGGGGGAGATTCATTTGAACTTCCAAGGGTTTCAAGATGGAGTCCTAGCTGAGACCTTTGGGTTTTGTATGTTCTTCCTGTGGATGTGTGGGTTCTTCCCCCCCACTACATAAAAAAAAAAATGGGCATGTCAGGTTAATCGCTGGTCTCTAAATGGACCCCAGGACTGAATGTGAGCGGAGAAGAAGGTGTTTTGAGTCCCTTAGATTTGCTCTGATATAAGCCCAACCTGTAAAAAATGTAGCATAATGTCTCTGCCCTCTGGCGGCCTCATGCATAAGTGAGCAGGAGGTGACGCTGATAATAAACGAGCAGATTTATAAGCTCCCGGACAGCAGTGTTCAGCACAGGGCTCAGAATGGAACATTGTGTTGACAGGACAGCGGGCTCTCTTTGGCATGCCGGCTCAGTTACCACTCCGCCTCTGTCAGACAGTGATGTATTCACAGTCCTCTGGCAGCCCGAGCCCCCACCCATCTGTCTTGTGTTGGCCAGATAGATGAGCCCGAGCCGTCCCGCGGGCCTCGGCGGGCAACAGGGAGGCAGCCAGAGCCAGAGCAGGTAGCTCCGCTAGCAAGTCCAACCAGTCGAGAGGATGAGGATAGCTGGAGGGACCCGAACAGACATGAGCCAATCCCAGCGAGAGCTAACTGTCTAAAGCCTGGAGGTGATTGGGCTGTTTTCCTTTATCCAGGTGTGTTTCATTGGCAGAAGCAACGTGGGCAAGTCGTCCCTCATCAAAGCCTTATTCTCCCTGACTCCAGAGGTGGAAGTGCGGGTCTCCAAAACCCCCGTAAGTAGTCCGTTTCCAGCTCCGGGTCATGTTTCGCTCTGCACACGTGCACAACGGCTGCTTCTCTCTGGCTGCCTGAGAGGAGAATTTAATGGCTGGAGTCCTACATCAGGACTCTGGTTGCTAACTCAGAGAGGTTTATGGCTTTTATTGGTACACAAGCCGTTATGAGGGTTTTTATTTGAGCCTCCTAAGTGGAGCTCGTCTGTCACAAACGGTGGAACAGCTGAGGGGAGCAGCACAAAGGGGGGATCTGGGGAAGGACTGCAGTCAGATTTAGCCCCCAGTAACCAGTGCTAGTCACCAGATGACCTCTTCGTTATGGAATAGAAATGGAAAAGTCTGTCTTGTCTGGACTGAGTTCACATATCCAACACATCGTACCACCAAGGATCAGGGCTGAACGGGCTTCTAATCACACTTCATTCATTCTACTGTCAAAGCATGAATATACCCCATAGTCTACTAATTGTGTAATCAATGCCGTCTCTGACCCCTGTCACAGCTATTAAACAGCTGGGAGCTCTGACAAACCTGGGGTTAAAGGTCAATCATCCAATGAGAAACCCCAGACCAACGTTTTCCATCTGACTTTCTTTTACACTATTTGGTTTCAAACGGGAAACCTGAAAAGGAATGAACACTCTGACGTCAACAGGCAGACTCTGAGCCTTTTCTTAAAGATATTTGCCTATTCAGAGGTTTTCTGTGAGGGGAGCTCTGTACAGGGTCCTGAGGCTGAGCTGTAGACCTAAACAGGGGGCCCAGTCTGTGTAAGCCTAAACCTAACCCTAACCCATTCCTCTGCTCAGGGTCACACAAAGAAGATGAACTTCTTCCGGCTGGGCAAAGCCTTCACCATCGTGGACATGCCGGGCTACGGACACAGAGCGCCCAGAGACTTTGTGGAGATGGTGGAGTCTTACCTGTACACCAGGAAAAAGTAAGCTCAGCTTCCTGGGGAGGGACAATGTCAGGGGCCCCATATCAACCCTGTTAGAGGAAAACAAACCCAGTGACTGCTGTAGAGGAGCAGGCTGATGCTCAGAGGCCACGGGGGACTGTTCCTGGACCTTCCTGTAACATGTGAAACGCAGAGCCCCCATTGGACGAGCTGCTCGCTGTCACGTGTGCTGGATCTCAGTCAGACATGTGAGAACTGTTGTCTCTGCCAGCCTTTCTAAAGGCCCTTTGCACCACATAAAAACAGAGTCAAAACAATTAACTTATTTTAAGCACCTGGCTATATTTTCTCTTATCCAGGCTTTAAGGTGCTGTAAAAACCCATTTCATAGGACAAATGTAGATATGGGTGTATTCTTTATGCTTTGCTGATTGTTTGATATTCTGCCCACAAATATACCAGGAAATACAAAAACCTTCAGTCTGTTTCTGTAAATTCAGTCTAAAATTCAGCTTGTAACATGAAAAGCCTTTTTAACCGCACTCCTCCATTTATGATATTTTTATTCATTTGAACAATGTTTGTAGTGAACCAGGCCAAATGATGGTGAAGCCTACTGATGTTTCAAAAAATAATATTTATTTTTGCACAGCCGTTTGTTCATGAAACACTGTCAAAGCTGTGGACAGACAAACAATATCAGCTCTAACAAATAAAGTTTTATCCATAAAATAATCCAAAATATGCTAAAGTCTGAATTAACACTAACTTAAACATTATTAAGCCAGGGGCTTAATAAAAACGTGGTTAGATCTTTAAAGTTGTGAAATATTTGTTCTATCCTTTACAGACCCGCTCCGTATAACGTTTTTAACGTTAGACCTACTTCCAGCCCGGGAGCACAAAAGTAAAAGTATGTAACAATAAAACCGGAAACCACAAAAAAAAAAAGCATACAGGCAGCCATAATGACACTAAAACACCTTTTTTAAGTGTTCATTACAGCAACACCTGGCTAAAAGTGGGAAAAGGGTTGTTACCAAAATCTGTTTTATGTGGAGTTATGTGTGTTTTGCTGACTTAAGTGATTGTTTATTTTCTATGCTAATGTTTAAATTACCGTTAATTCAGACTTTAGCATCTTTTGGATTATTTTATGGATAAAACTTTATTTATAAGAGGTGATTTTGTTTCTGTCCATAGCTCTGACGGTGTTTCAGGAACAAACGGCTGTGTGTGAATACATCTTATTTTTTTAACCTTCAGTAGCTCCAGCATGGTTTGGCTGGTTCCCTCCAGTTCCCTCTGGATGGAGGCAGCTGCTGTTTGCCCCCGGGGCCAGCAGGTGGTGCTGTTTGTCGGCTGCACTCTGGTCCAGGCAGTCCGGCCGGTCAGGCCTCCCCTGGACACCTGTACAGGATTCCTTCTGCGGGGGCTGGACCTGAGCTGGGACAGGCAGTCGCAGTGTGCTGCCTAACTGATGAGCATCTGTTGGTTTTCCAGCCTTGTGAGGACCTTCCTCTTGGTTGATGGCAGCGTGGGTCTGCAGAAGGCTGACCTGATAGCTCTGGAGATGTGTGAGGAGCTCAGAAGTCCATATGTGGTATGAAACTAAACAATAACACTCTGTTCTTGTCTGCAAATGTCTCCTAGAGAAGGATTTCATATGCTGGGAAATAAAAAGCAGAATAAAACAGAGAAGGACCTCCTTTTATTTTCATTTTATTGTCATTTTATTTAATTTGTTTCTTCTGTAAACTGGTGCACTGCAAAAAAAATAGTTTCCCGCAAAAGATTAATAAAGTAATTCAGAGTCTGATCTAACAGAGAAACACAGACTGGGGTCGTATGCTGTGATGGGGTACATTCTTCAGCTCAGCTTGACAGCAGACAGAGTTTAGCGAGTGGGATTAAAACTATAATTGAAACTATACTATAACAACAACAATCTGTTTTTGTTTGCAAATGTCTCCTGGAGAAGGAGTTCATATGAAAAAAGCAGAATGTTTGTAGATATTAGGGACAGAGACTAAACACATGACTTCTGAAGGAAAAATTCAGATTGAAATGAAACCTGATGTTTGTTTGTTTTCTCAGTAGTGTACAGGTCTGAGGGGTCACTCAGAAACCAGGCTGATGTTTTAGCTTGAGAGCAGCTCAGCTCAGGCTGGAATTTAAGTCCCCACACTGGAGGACACGGCTCCATTTACCAGCTATATTCTACTCTCATTCTTCTTTGTCCTCATCGTTCCATCCACATTAGATTCATGTTGAACGCTCCCACTCTGCTATTTAAAAACTCGTTTTAATGAAGCAGCCACACTCTGCACGCACGCCACAGTCAATTATTCATGCTACAAGGTTATTAAAACCATCACACACTGGACAGAGATTAATTCTCTGAGCTGAAATACGAGCTACAATTCTTCTGTTTTTTCTCCTTTATTTGACCCAGTTTGGGCAGTCATTTAAACCTGACCCTCTACTTTTAGCAAAGCCTCTCAGACCCTCGTTACAGCTCATTTTTGTTAGCTGAGACTGGGAATGAGCCTGCTGTTCTTCAGTCCTTCCTTAAATACTCTCACACAGCTGCACCTCAACTGGTCCCATCATATAAATATTATTTTATTACATCATGATTGGCTGTAGCATGCCTAACTGTGATCTTGAATCAAACTCTAACCTGTATGGATCAGAAATTGTTTGTTTTTTTAGTCCAAACGTGTAAAGACAATGAGCAAAATCTTTTTAAAATGTTGTTTTTATCCCAAAACATCCTTATTGTGTCCTAAAGAAGCACTGGGTGTTGTAGTTGTCTTAAGTCCAGCATCATGGATCGACTAAAGCTCAGAAAACCAGCCCTGAACAGGCTCAGAACGAATGGGATTAGAACCGACACACAGTGGAGATGCACTAAATGGATATTTTGTTTTATTCAGATGGTGATGACCAAGATTGACAAATGCCGGCACGGAGTGCTGCTGACCAACCTCCTGAAGCTGCAGGACGTGGTCCGGACGCAGACCTCCAGCTGCTTCCCCCAGCCCTTTCTGATCAGGTGACTGCAGGAAAAGGCCGGGGTTTGTGGCACATGCTCCCAGATGGATGAGTGAGGGTCCTCTGGTTCTCCAGGCCTCTAACCCAAAGGGCCTCTTCAGGGCTAGCGGAGCTGAAACTCCCCCTCGGCCGGATTAGCCCGACTATTGTCCCCTCGGTGCCTCAAAGCCCCTCTGAATGTGCATCATGAACCTTTAGAAGAAGCCCAGTAGCCCTGTATTTAAACAATGAAGGCTCCTTATAATCTGCTTTTTCATCTTCACTCAGTGCTTGTTAGCTTAAATGTGGTAAAGCACAAAACTGGGCCGTCCATTGTCAAACTAAGCAGGATTTAGAGGACGCTGTTTACATTGACCTGTATTTTCTTTAGTCTTCAACATGCGTGGCGGTTGAGGGAGTTCACTTAACTCCTCCTTTTTGTTTCTCTCCACACCAGCTCCACCAGTTTGGGGGGCATCTACCTCCTGAGATGCTTCATTGCCCACGTAACAGGAAGCATCAGATTGAGGGACACCTCCCAAAGCTGAGGGCAGGCCAGTGAGGCCTGGAAGGAGAAACTGGACTTGGCAGAGTTTTATCTCAAGATCTGCTCCCATCATCTCATTTTTTATGAATGTACAGGGCTTTGTCCGTAGTTTTTAAGAGGTTGAATTCACCAGAATCTGGTCTGAAGAAGCCTGGAAACATCTAAAGACTGCAGGAGGACAGGAGGCCGGCAGCCTGCAGATGGAGGCTGTGTGTGAGTGGAGGTTTCCAGCTTTAGGGAGGTTTGTGCACAAAGCTCCATAAGTGACTTCCTGCAGTTGCTTTTGGAAAACAGAAAAAAGAAGAGAATGACGTATGAAAACAGGATTTTTGGCCGGAGCAGTGAGCTGTTTCTGAAGCACCAGCAGATGGTTGTTGTTTGCTGTTGCTACAGTGAGTTCACTGCATAATTTGTAGAATTATACAGAACTTTACCACAGTGGATTACCAATTATGCAACAATGATAAACAACAAGAGCGAGAGCTTTCAAGGTAAACCAATAACAGTGATAAAGCATATCCAGCTCCACAGATCAACACAACAAACCAACTCTTGTTTGGTTGATTGACTGAAATGTGTCCACAACCTGATCTTTATTCAAGTAAAGCCCACCCAGCTTTTCTCTTAGTTTAGTGTGCCGGGTAACGTTTTCAGTCAGAAAATTCAGGGAAAATCTCTTTGAATGAACTGAAATTGTGAAAAACAAACCTTATTCTGTCATCACAGCCATTTTTTATGGGTATAATGGACGTTTTTCTGCTCGTGCTTGACCCTGAGATGGTCTTCTAGCTCTTTGTTGCTTTTAATAAAGAAATGTAAGATTCTCCTCTTTTCTTGGAACGGCATGATGTCAGAGGGGGATTCGGTCCCTGGTGTTTTGATTGGTCGGCTGGGATAGGCTGGTGCCACAGTGTGAGTAATGGATGGACGGCTTCATAATTATGCTTTAACTGCATGGTGTTTTTGGCAGCGTCCTGTCATTTAGCAGAGCAGAATGCCGGCCTTGACTCAGCACAGGGCTTCAGATGGGCCGCAGATCATTCTGGGATGTTGGAGTTAGCAAAGCAATGTTTAACTAAAAAACTCATTCTTTTACTGCCCACTTTTACACCCTTTTCTGGTAAGTGATATTCAAAACAGAATCATCTGTGACTATTAGCTTAACCTAACATAAAACATGTAACTCGTGTATGGGAACTCATCGAGCACAATCCTGTAAAGAAGTATGGTCTTTGTTTTGATTCAGTAGCCAATCCAGAGACGGATTAAACCCTGTTTTCTGTATTTGACCCACTCTTTTGAGCTCTGAATGCAGATGGAAGCTGAAAACTTCCTTCTCCATTCACATATATAAGGACAACAGATTAAAAAAAACATTCTGCCATAAAGGTTTTTATAGCTGATCATCTGCAGGAGGTCAAGGTCTTCTGGTGAGAAGCGTTCTTAATCATTCATTCTTCATCCTGTTACATGAACCGGAGGAATAATTCCCCCTAATGCTTTATGTCCTCTTCCTTATTTTACTGTGGATGACTCTTTGCATAAGTGGACGTATCAGAGCAGCTTCTTATCTGATCTCTGAGATAACGGCCTTGAGAGGACGCAAACCTTCACACACTCATTTACACTCTGGAGCAGAAGATACTTAAAAATTTACAGCAGCCTGAATGAAGGTCGGGTCAGATGGAGACGAAAAGATAAAAGAAGAAGGCTGATAAGACAAAGAACCCCCCCCCCTCCGGTTTACTATGAACACGTACAGAGTGAATGATCAACAGCTCCAAATCCCTTTAACCAGACCAACTTTATTGAAAATGTACAAATCGATGGATTTTGCAATCCTTATTAATCATAACATCTACACAATCATACCAATGTAACACATCGGGAACATGAGCAACAATTCCAATAATATATCAGATTATTTATTTATTGCCTTTCTGGATACTAGAAAGGCAACCTAACAGCAAACCACGTTAAAAGACTCAATAAATATTAAATACATGAAATAACAAATGCAGTAGCAGCCTCAGGTGGGTCTAACTGAGTTTGTAGATGCAGACACTGAGAAGCTGACCTGGATCTGAGCGTTTCTCGTCTCCAAAGCGACTGGAGTGCGTCTCAGCTAAACGCTCCGGTCATTGTCATGCTGATCTGTCGGCTTTAGTCTCATGCATCATTCAGACTGCCCCCCCTCCTCTGGTGAAATCCCCCCCAATGCTCCCCTATCGGGTTTCTGGGGTGTTGGAGCAGGTGCTCCAGCACACAAAGGGGATCCAAGCATCCATTTAATGATGTCATGTCAAATTAAATGTACTCACAGCTTTTTTTTAATGTGGAATCAACATAAAAGTCTTCATTTTAGTTGTGTCATCGCTAAGCTGTAAACAAAGAAAACATGGTCACTTTTGGGTTATTTTTATAATAATCTTTATTTAGTTACAAAGTTGCAAGTTACAAAGTGTAAAGAGACAATAATACAAAAATAATTCAAAATGAAAGCATGAAAAACAATCAAAAGACTACGATACTTATAAGATTAGTAAAATACAATAAAATAAAAGGGATAAAACAAAGTCAAGGCTCTCCTATAAAAGTATGTTTTAAAAGACTCCGCTATAATAGTATGTTTTAAGACCTAAAAGAGTTTATTTGCTCAGGCGACCTGGAGCTTGGCTGGGGTCAGAGGCCTGAGGTCTAAACTATGGCAGCAGGTCTCTGTAACCTTCAGCACAGAGAGCTCCTCACCTGGACTCTGACCAGAATGGAGGCAGAACCTGTGACTGCCTCCTCTTCTTCCTCCTGAATGGAAACAACACCAGGTTACCATGGTAACGGCTGTCACAGTCATCATCTTTTTAACAAGCTAGGCTAAAGTTCAGCCTGGATCTTTGTACTTCAAACAGGAGTGTGTGTGGGGGGGGGCTGAGTGAGGGGAGACATCCGGTCTCCTCGAGTCCATTTCCCAGGAATATGTGAACCGGTTGAAACTGCTCAGGCCGTCATGTGGATGGGAATCCTTAGAAAAGGTCTTGTTTTAGTGGCACCCTGTTGGTTTACCAAACAAAAGAATATTAATACCAGCAAGACTCATGTTTTCAAGTTTGAGCAGTAAAAAAACAGCAAACTGCGTTTTATTCAAATCCACACAGAGAAACATCCAGAAGTCATGGGAAACTATTTAAAGGGATAAGTTTTGGTATCCCTTTAGCACTGTCAGGGACATTGTAGCTGACAATCATGACGATATTCAGATGGAAGCCAGCATTAACCACCATAATAAGCCCAAAAATCAGATGCTGGTTGGAGCAGAACTGATCTGAAACTGCTTCAGATTCCTTAAAACGCTGTTTTAAACCCACAGTTAGTTTGTTCTGTCTGTACGCAGTTATGGCGGTAGCTGGTTGTCCTTTGACTGTGAGTTAGGCATTACCTGTGCAGGACTGGCAGACTGTAACTCTCCAGAAGCAGAGGAGGTAAGAACCACTCGGTTCTGACATTTTCATGCAAACGAGACAAATCAGAGTGTGATTTGGGGCATTTGAATGGAATCACTGAATGTATTTTTTATTGTTTCAACACCTGGCGTGACAGCCAGAGCCATAAACTCCTTCCTTCACCTTTTGTCATTTTATCCTTTAACAACATTAACCAGATTGCGTGAGATGTCACGGCACTAAAAAAATCAAAGAGGCTTAAATCCCATTAAATTTATACTGTGTGCAAACAGGGAAATCCTCAACACTCTACCTTTCTATCCCATTTGTTCAGAGTTGTGCTGGATAACCTGGAGACAGGAAGCTGTTAGACCTTCTGAACAGTGTTAACTTCCATTTCTGATCATAGCACTGCAGAGCTTCCTGAATTAGAAACAGAGTTTTTCTAAGTACAATTCACAGCCAGTCTGTCTTTGTGTTTCCTGCTTCACTGAATGTAAACTGCTGGAAGACTTCTTCTCTAGAGTTGTTGGCACAGTGCAATACGTAGTTCAGAATCAGAAATACTTTAATAATCCTAGAGGGAAATTATATTTATATATAAATACACACACATAACATTCCACACAAAAAATGTAATAAATGCATATGTAACTATATGTATATGTACAGATCTAAAATGTACTGATAATGTTTTTACTGTGATTTGTGAGCATCTCTCCTTCTTGTTGGTGTCGTAGATGATGATACAGCACAGCTGTAAACTTTTAATAGCCACGCTGTTATAAAAGTTAGAGCCACAGAGCAATCCCATTTGGTGTTTCAGTCTAATTTTCTGTTTTATATGCGTGCGCCTCTGAACACTGACCCCATAAAACGTTAAGTATCGGTTAATTTTTTATTTTTTTCCCACCCAATTCTATTTGGCTGAAGCAGCGTGGGCATAAAGAGCCGAGATCTACAGCCTCCTCTCACTCTGCCTCCGTC